CTTTTAATTATACAATTCTACTTTATTTACATTTTATGAGAAGAAAGCCTTTTCAAACAGAAAAATCAATTTTCATATTTAAAATATTAATCATTGAAATTGTGTTATGTTTCTCATTCATCGCAGATACAAAAAGAAAGTTTAAGTTGTTGTTATCACATTAATTGTGATGTGTTGGAATGTGTCTTAAAACCTTTGTTGATAAAGAGAAAGATCGAGTTTGTAAATTGATCCAAAGCACTTTGACCAAAAATTCAATATTTTCAAGATCAAGTTCAGAATATCATAACTTCTTTATTTTTGAGTGATTCTTTGAGCATTTGGCTCCTTTTGACATCCTCTCCAACTTATCTTTACAAGTCAAGAGTCGTTTATGCGTGCAAGATCATCAAAAGTTCGAATACTTTAGAGGTCACTTTGTGACTTTTTATTTAATCTCAAGTAACTATTTCCCGACTTTCAAGGATTATAACTTCTTCGATTCTCAATATTTTGAGGCGATTCTTTTGGCACATTGTCATAAGTGATGTCATCTACAAGTTTTCTTCAAGGATCGAAGTCAAATTGAGCTTAGAAGGTCGTGGGATTTATTGAAACATTATAGGTCATTTTCTTGATTTAGAATGTTCTTAATTTCTAATTCTAATTCATGCCATAATTGTTTCCTCAAGACATTGAGTTTGATGATTCTTTGATTGTTCGTTGCTTATTTCAATTCACTTGTGTTTTTGCGGTTACTGGATTAATATGGATTTTGACCAAAGTTCATAAGGCATTATTTGTTCTTTCGTATATTATTGGTTCATTTTGCAAGTTACCATGATTTGAAGATTTGAACTAGGGTCTCATTGGAGATAATTTGAAGATGCACTCAAGAAATGTCTTTAAATTCAATTTGATACAAGGTTTTAAAGACATTTATCCTTATTCAAGGTTTTCAAGATTCAAGTATCCATTTACAAGTTCAAATCTATTCACGTGGATTTCTTCAAATTGCTTGAAAAAACTTAAGGCATTCAAGTTTCATTCAATCATTATTCATAACTTCATCAAGAAGGATTATTCAAGTTTCAAACATGGCATATAAGTTCACTTCTTGATTCAAGTGTGGTTCGTGGTATCGAACAAAATCTATCATCATTCAATATCCATTTTGTTCAAGGTTCATTCAAGATTTAAGCAAAGACGTTTTTGATTATTTCCAAATTCATTCAAAATATTATCCTTTACAAACCTTTTCAAATCATCACCCTTACAACTTTATTGTTTACATAAAAATTACACAAGTACACAAGACTTAAACCTATCAAGAACTTTTGCCTTAGACATAATCCTAAGTTCTCTTCAAGTGTTGTAACCAATCTAAATGCCTTGCAAATAAAGCCAAAAACGTGTTGTTACTGATGTGCTACTGCTGTCCAAAACCAGTACAAACTCTATTGTCCATTGAGACAAAATAACTATGCATAATGCAAACAAAAACCATGTCCCAAACCTGAAAAAATAACATCAAACTTGTGTTGCACCCTAAAAATTACCCTCCTAATATATAATTGTCTAGCTTAGGCTTTACGTTCATCTGCATATATCCCATCGTCTAGCTTAGGCTTTGCGTTCATCTGCATATATTCCATCGAGGCATTAGCATTAGCATATATTTTTATTCAATAAAGTATCATGGATTCAATGTTCAGTGGTTGTGGAGTTAGAGTTTCACAGCTGTTTTGAGGTGTATATATCAAATAAGGTTGATTTCATCTGATTCTTTCGAGTATTGGACTGTGGAATCAGGGTTTTGATTCAACTTTATTGTGGATTTCTTTCTTCATTGAATGTTCATCAAGAGCAAAGTGCATTAGGATTTTCATTCGGGTGTGCTTAAAGGTTCATCTTTACTTCAAATAGAAATTGCTTTGAGCTAGTGTTTTGATTATTCTCAGTATATCGAGATGTTTCTTCATTCCACGTGCATTGAAAACAAAATGATCAGGCTTGTTAATATTCGTCAATTGAAGGTCATTGGCTTTCATATCAAGGTGTTCTTCTATGTTTCAAGTCTTATCACCATCTTTAAGGATTCCTTATGTGTTAAGGTCATCTATTGAGAAAAGGGTTTGTCATAGCATGACACAAGATATGAGGCAAGAGATCCATTCATCAAATCCATTCATCTCAAGCCCAACTTTATTTGACAATATCCAAATTTCATTCAACATTCATTTATGATTTGAGCATCCATGGACAAGATAAGATGGTTTTGACCAAGAGTTTGTCTCAAAACAATTCTTTTCGATTATTCATCATAAAAGGATCTACTCATCTAAGATGCAAATCGAATATTCCTTTAAAGCCTTGTTTTTTATTATGTGGAATTCAAGAATGTCAATGGTCAAGCATGACAAGTCAAGATTGACAAACAAGTGATAAAAATCAAAAAATCCCTTCAAGCTCATTCAAATTCACTCATGTTCAAAGTTATATCGTTCCATCGAAAACAAGGTTTATTCAAGTTCATCCAAAAGGCTTCATAACCATTCAAACATCATCCATGATTCTTTTTAAATGTACAATTTCCAAGCTATATTGATATTACACATTGGAGCATTACCAGAGGAAAATTACAAGATCTATTCCTATATTGCTAAACTCATAAAGCTACATGGATCTAAGCTTGCTTCTGTCCTAAACAGTCCACAAAACCAGACCTCTAAAAAAATGTCATAATTCCTGAAGCCAGTTGTTCATCTTCAAGCCATCTCTTTTCTACAATTTCCATCCCTCATGATCATCCTTCGATGCACCATGTTTGTATTCAAGCTATACAGACTTGTATCACTTATCCTTGCAACAATCCTTGGGTACACTTACGGTCATTCAAATTCAAGACAGGTCCAAATTGAATTTCTATCAACATTATTCATCAAGGTTGTGCGGCAGTTGTAGAATTTTCATGATCTAAACATTCCAAGTTTCGTGCAAATTTTACATCAGTCAATCCTTCATTGATCTTCAACCATCCACCATAACTTCATCTTCCGCACTACAACCCTCTTCACACTTCATCATCATTCATGGTCATCTTCTCCACAACCTTCAATCATCTTTGCAACCTCACACGGCTTCAGTCACCATCAATCTGTATCACCATCAATTTTGCCTTGTCAATCCGCAAGAAACAGAAACGCACACAGAGCTTATAGAAGAAGAAGATACGAAAAGAGATGGCAAGAGATGAATACGAACTGAGTGGTGATAGTTTGAGATCGTTTAGACTTCCGCCGCCGCCGGAGGCGAGCCCTAACGCGGCGACGCTTCAATGTTATCGCAAGAGAGAAACGGACGAAGAGAAATGGAAGTATGAGAATTTCGAAGGGAAGATGAAAAGCCACAATATCTGTGAAGCCAAAACGCACCGTTTTATCCTCTTTATTTTTTATTTATTATCATTATTATTTTGATTTTTTCAATTGTTGACAATAATGGAGTTTTCAGTATGAAAATTTACTTTGGGTGAGAGATTGGATAATGGGCCGAATCATAATCTACCTGAAGTCCAACGTGAATTTATTGACACGAGTTAATTACTTTTGCAAACAAAAAATAGAATTATGGGTTCAAACTGAATGGGCCTAACGCCCAGATTTTTATTATTGGATTATACCATCAGATTCAGCTTCACACCCCCGCTGTTTAGAATTTTAATTGGTTTTCTCTATTATTTTTCTTGTCTTTTCATGATTCTTATTGATAACAATATGTGAAAAAATAGATAGTAATTTGGTGTGATTATTGGTAAGTAAAAGAAATATTGTTGAAGAGTTTCAAGAAGATTTTGAAGTAAACAAAGAGTGCAATTTTCATCAAGGAAGCTTTATATAGAGTTTTCTTATCTCTCTTGCACGTATCATGCTATACTTTTATTGATTGTTAGAAGTATACAATGTAGTTGCATCTGAGTCTCTCTCTCGAGGGAAATGTTTGTTGGCATAGCTTAGACATTGGTGTGATTTTTTGTGATGTTATGCAAATCTTGAATTCCTAAAAATGTGTTTGTATTGCATGTTTGAGCAAGATTATATAAGTTTGGAATCCGGATTTGAATTCAGTGAGTGCAAAACAAAAAAGGCCTATCTAGAGATTCATATTCACACCTCTCCCCTTTGTTCAATTCTGATGCAAAAAAGGCTTAGCGGACACAAAACAAAAAAGGCCTACCTAGAGATTCATATCATCATCCCCTTAAAAATGGGCCAAAGAGCCAGCTTAGGAGTTGATTTCTTGATGGCTTTCATGATGCCTTGAAATATGATTGTGCAAGCTTGTTGTCATGCTACTTGTGAATTTAAATGAATCTTATCTTGTTTATATTGAGGACATATGATTAATGATTCACTTTCCTATTACATGTTTAGGAGTACTTGTTGTGATGTCCTGATTCACTTTTCTATTGCATGTTTAAGAATACTTATTGTGGTGTCCTGATTCACTTTCCTATTGCATGTTTAGAAGTACTTGTTATGATGTCATGATTCACTTTCTTATTGTATATTTAGGAGTGCTTGTTGTGATGTCCTGATTCACTTTAATATTGCATGATTAGGAGTACTTGTTGTGATGTCCTGATTCACTTTCCTTTTTCATGTTTAGGAGTACTTGTTGTGATGTCCTGATTCACTTTCCTAATGCATGTTTAGGTAACCTTTGTTGTGATGTCCTGATTCACCTTAGCCTAATGCATGTTTAGGTAACCTTTATTGTGATGTCTTGATTCACCTCATCCTATGGCATGAGTAGGATAGTTCATTTCTCTTGTATGCTTATCATGATATCATTCCCATCCAATGGCCCGATTAGGATAGTTTATTTCTTTGGTATGCTTGTCCTGATGGTATTCTCATCCTAGTGCATGTTTAGGATATCTTACATATGCTTGTCATGATAGCATTCTTGTCATATTACTTGTCTAAGTGTCTTGTGTGTTACCTGTACACTCTCTTGTTTGTGTGATTGCTTGTCTATTACTTGTTTAGGTATATTGTGTTACTTGTACACTCTCTTTGCATGTGATATGTCGTGCTCCCTTAGGAACTTTGGTTCAACTTTGGTTAAGGTTAAATTGAAGTAATATGCTATGAGCCTTAATTACAAGAAGAGGAATTCAGATCTGAGGTGTCTGACTCAATCATCCAAGGGTCTCCGTGTCATAGACTTTAGCATGATACATGTCTCAATCACTTTCAAAACTTAAAGGGAATGGATTCAAGTACCTCTTGGAGGACCACTTGAGGGATTTCCTACCAAAAACACTCAACCAATACAAACTCTTTTTGTCTTCAGGCTTGTCCATTGAAAACCTTTTCAGGTAAGAACATGTTAGTTCCTTTCTACGATAATGTGTGAGTCTCCAAAGGTCGAGCTGTAGTAGAATGCGAAACTTAACATCGTTCATTTAAAAAACACAAACAAACAAAAACTTTTAAGCCAAACTACAATTCTCTGATTCATTAAAAAGGATACACAGATATTAGGTTGCAGGGCCTAAGCGAGCACAACTATTTAAAACCTTCATTTTCCCTGTATAATTTTCTCATGCACTTCCCTTAGCTTGTAAGCTTTAGTATAGTTTAAACACACCATTAGATTAGAACAACAAGAGAGGATCCTATGGAGTACCGCAGACGTGAGGGGTGCTAATACCTTCCCCTTGCGTAATCGACTCCCGTACCCATTTCTTTGTCGTGAGACCTTGTTCTCGCTTACTTTAGGTTTACTCGATGTTTTCCTTTCCCTTATTTGGGATAAATAATATTCCATGGCGACTTCATTGTTCATTTTCCTAGTTGCCTCAGCTGGCGACTCTGTTGTGGATTACCTAAGCAAGTCAGTCCTAGATTTTGTTTGTTTTCTTTTCATTTGGGTGTTTACTTATTTATGCGTTACTTGCTTGCTTTAGTTGCTGTTTATTTATTGCATGCATTGCATTTTACTGCTTTCCATATGCTGGACTGTGCTGGATTTTCTGGTTTTTTAGGTTGGGTGGGATGTTACTCTGAGGTAAAAGGCTCACTACTCAGGCCATGATACACATAGGTTAGAGTGGATAGTTATGCCGACTCATGTGGCGTCTAACACACAAGAGTTGGCATGACATACCGCACTCAGACGAGGTTTTCTTGGGAATTTTGTTATCCTACATGTTTATGCACTAGACAGAGTGTTGACACAAGGGGACTGTCGACTCTGGTTGCCCATTAGGAATCCCTGTTTTGATTACAATTTACCCGTGAGATGGGGTGGGAATTATTCTTACAAGTACAGGTGTTGATATTCAGACTTGGTTTCTTTATGTTCTGAGATGATGTCGGACCTTTGATCTTAGGGTTTTCACACTTGGTTCCCTTGTGTTCTGAAATGGTGTCAGACCTTTGATCCTGCTATATTCATCCTGTTGTACAACACTTATTCAGCCTATTGTACAACACTTATTCATCCTGTTGTACATTATTTATTCAGAAGATTGTACAGTATTTATTCAGAGGATTATACAGTGGTTACCCAGATTTTATGGATACTTGATCCCATGCTAGTGCATACCATGACATCACATCATTTTATATATGCATCCCATTTCTAGGGAATTCCAAAGACGAGTCTCTTTTGTCGAGTGTTCCAAAAAAATGAATACTATTACCAAAATAATACTTATGGATAGACAAGTCTTTGGATTTCCCTGAAAATGAAAGATGAAACATGCATTCATAATATCATGCATTTCATTGTTTGTAACAGAAGCTTATTGGGGCCCTTATTTTCATTCAGAGTTCAAAATCAACGAAGGTGACTTCTCTACATACATACCACACTCAAGCCAATCAGCGAAGATTCATGGATCAATTTGAACAAAATCAGAATGCTCTTTGCAGGGACATGGGTATTATGAGTGATAGAATCAACCAGCTCCTCGAGACTCTCCATGTTGTTATTCAAGGACAAGAGGAACTCAGACAGAATGTTGCTATGCTTTCTATTGCTACTGCTCCCTCCTCTTCTATTAATGGGGTACATGTGACCATGGATGAACTTCGACGTGAACAAGAATTAGTGAGGGTAGAGGTCAATCAAATGAAGAATCAAATAAGGCTGATTATGGAGGTCTTACAAACACTATTGAAGAAGGATGACAATCCCGCACCAACTAGTGCAACTGAAATGGTCAATCTTTCCTACCTACCAGGTCTCCCTGCCTGCAACCATTGCCTATGCATCAACTAGATTAGAGGAACCACGTGCCAAAGCAGAATCATTTCCCAAATCATCGCCAACAACAAAATTATCACCAACAAGTGCAACAGAGGCAGAGGGGTCCCAAAAGGAGATTTGATCTTGTTCCCATGTCTTATGCTCAATTCTCCCTCACTTGCTTGCCAGTCAATTGACTCAACCGCGAGAACTCGGTCCTCCTCCAAATACTCTTCCAAAGGGATATGATGTTGATAACACGATTTTATATCGTATAAATCGACTTAATTAATGCAAATAATTCATGTTTTTATTTAATTTATTTTATTTTATTTCCATATTACGCTGGTATTTCTTTGTTTCAGGTATTTTGCCTCAAATAAGCTTATGTGAAGAAAAATGAAGAAATAGATGCAATTTAATACAAAAATGAAGATAATTGAGCAATGTGGTGCAGATTAGTAAAAGGGGGTGAAAAGAATGAAATTGCAAGGCCCAAAAGAAGAATGTACGTACAAAGGCCCAAGGGAACGCACGTTCCCCACTTCAGCTTGAAGGGACCGACCGGCCCACTAAGGGGAACGACCGGTCCGGACCACTTCAGCTGAGTGGAACGACCGTTCCCTGCCCTTTCCTATTCTCACGCCATTTCCTCCTCACACGGAACGACCGGTCCCAAGTCAATGAAGAAACCTACTTTTGCTATATTTCCGTGCACGTTATGCAACAAAGTCCACTATCAATATTTTTTTGGATATTCAGTTTTACGTGGATTGACCTTTTGGGATACAATTATTTTACAAGCATTATAAATAGAAGTGAAAGCAAAATCCCAAGGGTCGGAGAATTCTTGCAAGATCATACTATTTTCAGCAGAGCAAATTTCCTTCCATTTTAATTTTTGTTCTGCTCTTTTTCTTTATTTTTTTTATTTCATCGCATTGTTTTTATTTCTTTTCTTCTCCAGTTTTCTGCCTTTATTTTTCGTACAACGATTTCTACACCGGGAATTGTTGTGCAATTTTATCCGGTTTAACCTTACGTTAGATCCGGTATTTTTACTTTCTTGTTATTATTAAATTCAAGATTCGACGAGTAGATCCAACCGGCTTGTGGTGGAATACTCCAAGGTTTTTGAAGAACGCATTTAATTGAAGTTATTGAAGTTTTCTACATTTCCAGGTTTTTAATTTAATCGCTTTTATTTGTTTATTATTAT